CAACCTGCCTTCGGTGCACTTGACGCCCTATTGCCGCCAGGTCCAGGTTAACGAGGAACGAGAGCATACGAAAGTTGCTGTGGAAGTCTGCTATTACCATGAACAAGGTCACGCGCAAATTACCGTCCTGCGACTCCTAGTTAACATACATTTATGCTATGGGTGAACTGTTGTCCCTACTGTTCTATAGCATAGCCCAATTTGGCCATTGAAGTACGCCTTAAAGCCCTCCCTAAACAGTACAGCCTACACCATCTTAACAATATTTTATCCTAGTTGTACACACACGCACGATTTGGTCATACGTATTAGCATCGGTTCGCGCGCGTTCTAAGGAAGACTACCTACAACACTTCACACACTGCCTCTGCGAAGTGCGTGTGATGCGTTCGCCAACGTCAAAATAACAAGCCAAGCGTCACAAATGATAATACATTCAACCCGTTTAGGTGGGAGACTTGTTATCTGAAGGATGAACCATGCATAACATGACGTGCAACCTTGCGAATCCGTTCTTTACATTGATTGGCTACTTCGTCTAGGTTGCTTTTTATTATTTTATCATTGTAGATTGGTTAATATTCTTTTATCTGTTTGTATAGAAAAAGTTGTTGATTAATAAATTAAAGCTCTTCCTACTTTGTACTATCATTTAACTGAATGTAGAAAAACTCAAACATCAAATTGCACGAAAGACAACCGATACACCAATTAAAAAACTCTAGCACCCATGCAAGTTTCATCCACGGCCACGTAATTTTCTTAGTATTTTATTGCTTATGACTTCCTGATCTTTTAATAAGGAGGCAATGGTGAAACCGCTAATGGTAATAGAGCCACATCCGCATTTTCAGTAGCCCGACTTTCCGCCGATTTTTATCTTTTTTTTCGGCGAAACGTCAGGCTACTATAAATGTAAATGGGGTTTTATTTATTGCTTCAAAAACAAAATCGACTTTGAAAGGAATCCTAATAGCAATGTTCTAGTACCAAACGATAGAATGGTCCTAGGTCGGACCAAAGTATAAAGGCGAATAGGCCCCTATATCGTTTGGTACTGTGTATGTGTTTGACCATCGATTTCGATGAAGTCCATCTTTTAGTCCATCCTTTGGTACTAGGGCAGCGTGATTGCGTACATTGGCGGTATACCGTGCGTTGACAGGGGGAGGTTACAAGCCGCCATCGAAATCGATGGTGGAACACACACACACAAGCCCACCCCCACCC